GGCTTCCTCCCCATGGCTTGCTCAGGCTGCTTTCTTATAGAACCCAGGACCAAGCAGCCCAGGGATGGCACTCCTGACAATGGTCTGGGCCCCTCCCACATCAATCACTAGTTAAGAAATTGCCTTACAGACTTGCCAATAGCCCAAAGTTATGGAGTCTGTTTCTCTGTAACACTGGCTGTCCTGGAACTCACTCTGAGATCAGGCCAGCCTGCCTCTGTGCTAAGATTAAAGTTGTGTGCTACCACTATTCCAGAAGGCAGTTTCTGAGTTAAGGTTCCCTCCTCTCTGATGACTCCAACTTGTGTCCAATTGACATAAAAATAGCCAACACACACAGTAAAATACTAACCCATAACGACAATGTCAAAGATATAAAATTGGTCCAAGCCAGGCAGTGGTGGTGCATGCATTTAAACCCAGAATTTGGGAGACAGAGGCAGGTGGATCTCTGAATTTTAGGCCAGTCTGGTCTACAGGGAATACCAGGACAGCCAGGGCTATGCAGAAAAACACGGTCTTTAAGAAAGAAAAAAAAAAAATGGCTCCCTCAATCTTCTACTCTGCCATTCATAAGGTATAACCTGGGTATTAAATTTTGCATCAAAGGTGGGCAGTGGTGGTGCATGTCTTTAATCCCCATACTCAGGAGGCAGAGGCAGGTGGATCTTTGAGTTCAAAGCCTGCTTGGTCTACAGAGAGAGTTGCAGGACAACCAGAGCTAAACAGATTGTCTCAACAAGAACAACAAAATTGTATCAAAAAAAAGGAGTTTCAAAATCCAAAATGAATGTTACCCAAGTTGATTTAATTTAGGGTTTCCTATTGATTTGAATGGTAGGTACTAGGAAAGTTATTTGTTTTGACTCCCTTTTTTTTAGATTTATTTATTTTTATGTACATTAGTGTTTGCCTGCATTTATGTCTATATGAGGGTGTCAGATTCCCTAAAATTACACGCAGGTGTGAGCTGTAATGTGGGTGTTGGGTTTGAACCTGGGTCTTCTGGAAGGGCAGCCAGTGCTCTTAACTGCTGAGCCATCTCTCCAGCCCTGCTTTGATTTCTTTTAAGGGCATCTTACTCTCCCTTACCCCTGTCTTCCCATCAATTCACAAAGATGCTGAACTCACATGGCTGATACATCATAGAAAAAAAAAAAAAGCTTAGTTATAAAGTGTCCCAAGATGTCGAAAGATATATTCCAGGAATTCTGAAATCTGATTGTACTTTATAAAACTCAGAATTCCTTTACTCATGGCATCCAAAGAACTATATCTTGAGACCTTTTAAAATTCCCCGATTTGAAAATCCTACTATAGTATGATTACCTTCTCTGTAGAATTTGGCATTTATAATATTATGTGCATCGGTACTTAGAATAAGATAAGAATTTAAGCAATTTGGCTGGAAAACAGATGCTGGTCAGTCAGCACTTAAGTAACTAGATACCAGTCACTACCTGGATTGCCTGAGGATGTTGAAACCCAGAGTACTAGATGCTCAAACGAAAATTGTGCAGTTTTTGTTGTAGTTTGAGACAGGGTCTCACTGTGTGGCCCAGGCTGGCCCCAAACTCACAGGGATCTGACTGCTGTTGCCATCCGAGAGCTGAGATTAAAAGCATGTGCCACCATACCTAGCTTCTGTATAGATCCTTAAGAATTATTTGGGAGGAAGCTAACAGGATTCTTTTTTCTTCATGCAGTTTTGGCTACCCTGATCCTGATTACCTGAAACGTGTCAAGGAAGAGCTGAAAGCAAAAGGAATTGAGTAAGGAGAGTGCCGGGAAGATGTCTATCCACTTTCAAAATAAGTGTGTGTATTAGTACAGGCCTAAATCTTTTTGTAGAAAAACTGTAGCATTTTCATATTAATCACATATCTTTTTTGCTCCCCCTGGATGGTGAGGTGTAGTTTTTGTAAAAGCAGAAGTCTGCTTGCCAGCCATTTCTAGAATGTTACTCTTTCGTGGAAAACAAAATATAAAGGGTGTGGGCTAGGGAGACCATCCGTAAAGTGTGACCACATGCTCTTATCTGCAGCAGCCATGTAAAAGTTGGTGTGATGGCATATGCTTGTAATCTTAGTACTGGTGAGTGGAGATAGGATTCCTGGAGCCTACTGGCTAGGTAGTCTAGCCAAAACCAAACACATGAGCTCCAGGTTCACTGAGAGACCTTGTCCCAAGAAATCAGATGGGTGAGGTATGGTGGCGCATGCCTTTAATGCCAGTACTTGGGAGGCAGAGACAGGCAATCTCTGTGAGTTCTAGGATAGCCTGGTCTACATAGCCTAAGTTCCAGGACATCCAGGGCTACATAGTGAGACTCTGTCTCAAAGCAAACAAAACAAATATTAGATGAACAGAAATAAAGACATCTAACATCACCATCTGACCTCCAAGTGCACCTACACACATGTGTACACACTCACCCAGCGAGACACCGAGAGAGAAGTTTTAGAAAAGAAAAAGACAAAGGATTTCAAATTTTGCTGAGGAAATCTGATCTCATTCTTGGGTGCTGACTGACATGAAATCATCTTCTGTATCTTTCACTTGAGCCAATGGCAACTAACTGAACCTCTCCTGTTGTTTGTTTTGCTTGAGACAGGATCTCTCTGTGTAGCTCTTGAATTCGCTTTTTGGGCCGGATTGGTCTTGAATTTAGATCTGCCTACATCAGCCTCCTGAGTGCTGGGATTAAAGAGGTGTGCTGCATGCGTGGTTTTGTTTGTTTGGGTTTTTTTTTGTTGTTGTTGCTTTTTGTTTTTGGTTGGTTTAGTTTTGGTGTTGTGACTTAAACCCAAGGCCACTAAGTTCCATCCCAAGACCTGTGATCCTGTTCCATCGCCATCTTTAGGTAGTACATTGGTTGGTTTTTAATCTCTGCCTGGACAAGTAAAACATTTGTATAAATAGGAAAATGAAACCCTTGTGTAAACTGGAAATTTAAAACAGAATTGACTGGAAAAAACCCACACTTCCCTCCCTACCCACAGAAACATGTCCAGGAGGTCAGGCAACTTTTGATAATAAGTAGAACAAGAAGAGTCTTATTGTTCATGACACAGAGCCTAGTAGACAGTGGTGCTTAATATGTGTCTGTTGCCTGACTCGGGTTGCTAGTATCTCAACAGAGGGATGAGCATATGAAAAAAAATATGCTCCTCAGATCTTTGGCCAAATTGGAACTGGAGACTTCGGCATTCATTTGAAAAAATAGTTTCTTACCCCAACACGTATTGGTTGGACTCTGGCCAGGTCATTCTTGTGGCTCTGATCTTTGCTGGTCCTTGGAACCTCTGTAAAGGGTGCACTTGCCCTGCCACAGATCTGCAATATGTTTTTCACATTTTACCCCACATGTTATGTTATGCTTTTTGAATGTTCTGTTTCAAATATTAACAGATAAATAACCTGGTCTTAGTCTAACATTTTCTAATAATTGTTACCTGAAATGTAGTAGTTTTTTTGTTTTTGTTTTTTGGTGGTTTTTTTTGTTTGGCTTTTGGGTTTTTTTTGTTTGGGGCTTTTTTGTTTGGGTTTTTTTGTTTTTTGTTTTGTTTTTGGTTTTTTGAGGTCTTTTGTTTTTTAATCCTTTGACTGAATCCTACCAATCTATGTTATCTCTCTTATAATCTTTCTAATCCTTTCTAATCCTTTAAAGTCTGTGTGGCATGTCACAGCTCGCTGTAACCAGCTCTTCACATCAGAAGAAAATCCCAGTAGACAGTGATCTGTGTTCCAGCCACTCTCCAAAATGGCAGATGACATGTCATGAACTTTCCCTTAAGACACACATGCACACACATAAGAACATTTTGGCCAGATAGTAGTAGCAAGCATTTATTGAGTACTTAGCCTGCATGTACTTTATGTTGATGTGATTGATACAATTAGTAGCTCTAGTCTTTACACACACACAAAAAAACTGATGTACAGAGAGTATTAGTAGATCACAAAAGGTAACATAATTATTACGCAGAAGTACTAACTTTTACTTCAGTCTCGGTTTTTTTTTTTTTTTTTTTTTTTTTTTTGAGACAGGGTCTCAGGTAGCCCAGACTGGGCTCTTCCTAAGTAGCCAAGACTGTTCTTGAACTCTGATCCTCCTGCCTCACCTCCTACCCAAGTTCTTGCATATATCCTAGGCTGATCTCTGTTGTTGGCTTCTCTCTCTCTCTCTCTCTCTCTCTCTCTCTCTCTCTCTCTCTCT